AGGTGCCAAGCCAGAAATCCAAATTCTTAGGCCCCATCCCTGATGTACTGATTCAGAAACTCTGGGATGGGGCCTAGCAATCAGAATTTTCTTTTTTCTTTCTTTTTTTTTTTTTTTGGAGACAGGGTCTTACTATGTTGCCCTTGGTAGAGTGCTGTGGAGTCACAGCTCACAGCAACCTCCAACTATTGGACTTAAACGAGTCTCTTGCCTCAGCCTCCCTAGTAGCTGGGACTATAGGCGCCTGCCACAATGCCTGGCTATTTTTTGATTGGAGTTGTCATTGTTGTTTAGCAGGCCCGGTCTGGGCTCAAACCTGACAGTCTCCTTGTATGTGGCTGGCGCCCTACTCACTGAGCTTTGGGCGCAGAGTCGTCCCTGCTAATTTTTTTTTTGTTTTTTTTCAGACAGAGCCTCAAGCTGTAGCTTTGAGTAGAGTGCTGTGACATCACAGCTCACAGCAACCTTCAACTCCTGGGCTTAAGTGATTCTCCTGCCTCCACCTCCCAAGTGGGGCTAGGACTACAGGTGCCCACCACAGTGCCCAGATATTTGGCTTTTTTTTTTTTTTTTGGTTGCAGCCGTCATTGTTGTTTGGTGGGCCCGGGCTGGATTAGCCAAGCCACCTGCTAATTTTTTTTAAAACTTTTTTTATAGGGACAAGGTCTTCCTATATTGCTCAGGCTTTATCTCTAACTTCTGGCTTCAAATGCTCCCACCTCAGCCTCACAAAGTGCTAGGATTACAGGCATGAGCCACTGTACACAGCCTAGACACATTTTTTGTATTTTTCTTGGGTGTATACATGTGTGTGCATATAATATGTATATGTATATTATATACACACACATACATACATATATATTATATACATACATACTATATATATGTTATATATACACATACATACATATATATTATATACATACATACTATATATATATGTTATATACACACACATACATACATACACACATACACACACACACTCCCATATATATATATTGTTTGTTCATTTGTTTTAGAGACAAAAGGTTATGTTTTCTAGCTTGGATTCGAACTCATGGGCTCCAGAAATCCTTTTACCTCAGTGTCCAAGTAGCTGGGACTACGGGCATGCCACCATGCCTGCCTCTATATTATTTATATATACACACACATACATATGGATATAGAGGTGGAATTGGTGGGTCATAGATCTTACACTCTTTTTTCTTTTTCTTTCCTCTTTTTTCCTTAGGCTAACCAAGTGACGCAATGGGAGTAGAAAAGGAACAAAGAAATCTGTAACTGCTTGTGATCAATTACTTGCAAACCCTACAGCGCTCAGACAAGTCAGATGGTACACTCTTAACTACTCCACATTTCAGCCTGTCTTCCTGTTATTTAATAAATATATTATTAGTAATACCAATAATCATTTCCATCTACTGAGTATCTATGTTGCAAAGCCTTTACTTTTACTAATTCTTTTTTTTTTTTTTTTTTTGAGCCTCAAGCTGTCCCCCTGGGTAGAGTGCCGTGGCATTACAGCTCACAGCAACCTCCAACTCCTGGGCTCAAGCGAGTCTCCTGCCTCTGCCTCCCAAGTAGCTGGGACCACAGGCGCCCGCCACAGCGCCTGGCTATTTTTTGGTTGCAGCCGTCATTGTTGTTTGGCGGGTCCGGGCTGGGGATTCGAACCCGCCACCTTAGGTGTACGTGGCTGGCGCCTTAGCCGGTTGAGCTATAGGCGCCGAGCCACTTTTACTAATTCTTACCACTACCCCATAAAACAGGAATCATTATCCCTTTATACAGATGACAGAAGTGGGGCTCACAGAAGTAAGGTGACTTGTCTGAAGCTCAAATAGCTCACGTGGGGTGGGGCTGGGACCACAACCCATATCTGCCTGCTCTCGCGCCCTCTGTGCCTAATAGCATGTCCTGGGCCTTTCCCAGAGCTTTCGAAACATGCCTTCTCCCCTCGTTTCAGGCCTTTTCTGGAAGTCAGGCTGAAATTCCTATGGTGAGAGATGAAACTCACTTCCTAGCTCCTTTCCCCAGCTGGGGCTGAAGGCCAGGGGAGGGGCTTCATGGGAACTGGAAATAAAAGGAAGAGAGACTGGGCCTTGTAGGGCAGTATTTCCAGGAGGAGGCTCGAGGGGGAGGTAAGGAACTTATTTTTTGCTCCTGGAGAGCAGGTGAGGTGAGGTGAGGTTTGGCAGAGTTTTGCCAGGGATAGGAAGTGAATGAGGCCAGAGCAAGTGGGCTGGGTAGTGGTAAGAGGGGAAGAGGGCTTTCTGCCTCTGCGGGGCTGGTCTGGATAAGGCTCCCACAGTATTAGAAGAAAAGAGGGACTTTACCTGACTGGCAAAGGGCCTTTTGTTCCGTGTCCACTCCTTGTGCCCCTTGCTCTGCGCCAAGCCCTCTTTGTGCAGGGGGCTTGGAATAGGGAGAGCACCTGAGGGCCAGGCACCCAGGGATTGAGGGGCTAGAGCAGAAACAGACACTGAGGCATACCCAGCTGGGACAGGCAGGGTGATGGGGTAATGATCCACTCTCAGAAAGCCTTCCAGAGTGGAGTCCAGTGAAACTGGGGCTTCCGGCTGCAAAAGTTTAGCTCTGGGTCAGAGAAAGGCAACATAGGTGGAGAAAACTATCTGTGCAAGGGCTTGGTGCCATCAGGAGCTAAAATATAGACGTTTGGGAGAAAGAGTGGTGGCAGGTGAACCCAGGGCTATCTGCCTAGACCTGTGCTGGCCAGTATGGGTGTTAGGAGCCAAAAGCACAGGGGCTATTTAAATTTAAATGAGTTAAAATTCAATAAAATTGTCCAGGTGCAGCATCTCATGCCTGTTATATCAGCACTTTGGGAAGCCAACGTGGGAGGATCCCTTGAGGCTAAGAACTTGAAACCAGCCTGGGCAACACAGCAAGACAAAACATTTAAAAAAAAAAAAAAAATTAGGCCATGGGTGGCGCCTGTGGCTCAAGGAGTAGGGCACCAGCCCCATATACTGGAGGTGGCAGGTTCAAACCTGGCCCCAGCAAAAAAAAAATTGCCAAAAAAAATATTTAGGCCACTGGGCAGCGCCTGTGGCTCAGTGGGTAGGGCGCCAGCCCCATATACCAAGGATAGTGGGTTCACACCCAGCCCCGGCCAAACTGCAACAAAAAAATAGCTGGGTGTTGTGACAGGCGCCTATAGTCCCAGCTACTTGGGAGGCTGAGGCAAGAGAATAGACTAAGCCCAAGAGCTGGAGGTTGCTGTGAGCTGTGATGCCACAGCACTCTACCTAGGGTGACAAAGGTCTCTAAAAAAAAAAAATTAGGCCAGGTGCAGTGGCTCATGCCTATAATCCTAACACTATGGGAGGCTGAGGCAGAAAGATCACTTGAGGCCAGGAGTTTGACATTAGCCTAAGCAAGAGCTAGACCCAGTCTCTACAAAAAATAAAATTAGCCAGGTGTGGTGGCACATACCTATAGTCCCAGTTATTCAGGAGACTGAAGCAGGAGGATCACTTGAGTCCAGGACTTAGAGATTACAGTGAGTTGTGATAGTGCCACTGCACTCTGCACTCTTGCCTGGGCAATCGAGTAAGACCCTGTCTCAGGAAAAAAAAATTCAATAAAATTAAAAATGTGGCTAGTCACTTTTTTTTTTTTTTTTTTTTTAGAGACAGAGTCTCACTTTATAACCCTTGGTAGAGTGCCGTGGCACCATCATACAGCTCACAGCAACCTCCAACTCCTGGGCTTAGGTGATTCTCTTGCCTCAGCCTCCTGAGTAGCTGGGGCCACTGGTGCCCCCACAACGCCCAGCTATTTTTTTGTTGCCGTTTGGCTGGGGCCGGGTTTGAACCCACCACCTTTGGTATATGGGGCCAGCACCCTATTCACTGAGCCACAGACGCCACCCGCTAGCCACATTTCTAGTCCCTAGTAGCCACTTGAGCTAGTAGCTATGGTATTAAGAATACAAACACAGAATATTTCTATCACCACAGAAAGTTCTTTTGGCCATTGGGAAGTCTCAGGGAGGGGTTCAGTTGCTCAAGGACCCAGGGGAGAAAGCAGGCTCAGACCAGGCTTCCTGCTTATTAGGGCTCTGGACCAGAGGTGAGGGAACGGGCCCTAGAAGTGTGAGGTGGCGTGACTCACCTCCTGCCAGTGCAAAGTGGACTCTGCCCCTGGGGACAGGAATGAACCAGGCAGGGCCTCTTCAGCCCCGACTTGGAACCCCTGTTCAGTGTGACCAGAGCCAGGGACAGAGAAACATGGAGTGAGTGAGGCTGGGCCGGGAGGATCAGCTGCTGAGTGGGGCTGAGCCTCAGTGCTGGGGTAGGGTGGGGGTCTTCAGTGTGGTCACAGCGTACATGGGGCTGGGCAGGGGAAAGTCTGGAGGATGTGTGTGTGTGTGTTGGGATAGGACACCAGGGTACAGGCTTGTTGGATGGGGGTTGGGTTGCCCTGTGACCATTGATGAGGGAAGGGAACCCTCTCATCCATCTGAGGAGCTGTTTCTGCTTCCTTCCCAGGTCCAAGATAGTCCAGCTGACGAGGATGGAATATGCCATGAAGTCCCTCAGCCTTCTCTACCCCAAGTCCCTCTCCAGGTGAGGAGAGCCCAAGGGCAGAAGGGAAGGGGAGCCACCTGTGAGCTGTAGGCCAGAACTTCTCACACTTCAATGGGTACATAAGTCACGTCAGGATTTTGTTCTAATGTGTATTCTGATTCAGGAGGTCTGCCCTGGGACCTGAGATTTTGTACGTCCAACAGGCCCCCAGGGATATTAATGCTGTCACCTCCATCACCGCCATACACTGAGTAGAAACAGACAGCACTACACTTAGTTCTTTGATTCCTGATCCTATTTAAGCCCCATAGTAACTTTGAGCTGTGGAGATTATGATACCAAATTAATTGATGAGAAAAATGAGGCACAGAGTGGGTGTTCTTAATCACCTAGCAAATCCATAGCAGAGCTAAGGTTCAAACCTGGGCCTGCCTGACCCCCAAATCCAGGTTCTCACCACTTTTTTGCTTCTACATTGTGTATCTCAGAGTTCAAAAATACCTTACATCAGGCGTCCTCAAACTATGGCCCGTGGGCCACATGCAGCCCACCTAGGACATTTATCCGGCCCGCCGGGTGTTTTTGCCACCGATGACTGTCCTGCTTAGCAGCAGACTCATCCCGGGGCCCGCAGTTCGGCCCTCCAGCGGTCTGAGGGACAGTGAACTGGCCCTCTGTTTAAAATGTTTGAGGACCCCTGCTTTACATTGACTGCAGGCTTCCCGACTGCGTCCCACTTTACAGATGAGTGGTAGTAATGGGGAGAAAGTGGGGTGGGTCTTTATCACCTCGATACTTACTCCTCGTGGTCCAAGAACCAGCAGCATCAACATCACCTGGAAACTTGTTAGTCACATAGAATCTTAGGTTTCACCCAGACCTACCAAATCAGAATCTGCCTTTAAACAAGATCCCCAGGTGACTAGGATGTCCATCAAAGTTTGAGACGCTCTGGCAGGATTTTGGGTAGCATTATTTGGGTGTGGGAGGAGGGCTGGGATGAGCCCAGTCTGGAAGGGCAGGGGAGTGGTTACCCTGGCAGGACGAAGGCTGGAGCTGCAGGCAGCTCATCCTGATGTTTTACCCATGCCCAGGCATGTGGCAGTGAGCACGTCGGTGGTGACCCAGCAGCTGCTGTCAGAGCCCACCCAGGAAACCCCCAGGGCCCAGCCCTACCGAGTAAGCACCGCAGACCGGAGTGTGCGCAAGGGCGTCACAGCACACAGTCTTGAGGACCTGCTCCACAAGGTGAGACGGCCCAGGCTCTGCAAAGCCCAACCACTGGGGCCTTGGCTGAGAGCTGCTCTGCTGGCAGCCTCTGGCCTCCAGGTCAGGAGCTGAGATTCCGCAAGAATGGAGGTCAGGGATTAGAAGGGGAAAGAGTTTCCATTCTGATGCCAGTGACAGTGGAATGATAGTGCCTGGCTGGAGAGCTGTCCAGTTGCTTAATGATGTCTGTCTGGTAATGGGGGAGGGTGGTACTTTGCAATCCTACAATATCAGTAAGTCAGTGGTATTTTCAGGGCACATTTTTCTTTTCTTTCTTTCTTTGTTATTGAAACAGAGTCTTACTTGGTCACCCTCAGTAGACTGCTGTGGCATCTTAGCTGATAGCAACCTTAAACTCTTGGGTTCAAGCGATCCTCTTGCCTCAGCCTCCCAAATAGCTGGGACTACAGGCATTTGCCACAATGCCTGGCTATTTTTCAGAGATGTGGGTCTCGCTCTTCCTCAGGCTGGTCTTGAACTCGTGAGCTCAGGCAATCCACCCTCTTTGGCTTCCCAAGTGCTGGAATTATAGTTGTGAGCCACCGCACCCAGTCAGGGCACATTTTTCTTAATGGAAAATCATTCGGTTTCCCTTTTCCAGTAGTTCTTAAAAAGTGCTAGGATTAGGCTCGGCGCCTATAGCTCAACCGGCTAAGGCGCCAGCCACGTACACCTAAGGTGGCGGGTTCGAATCCCCAGCCCGGACCCGCCAAACAACAATGATGGCTGCAACCAAAAAATAGCCGGGCGTTGTGGCGGGCGCCTGTGGTCCCAGCTACTTGGGAGGCGGAGGCAGGAGACTCGCTTGAGCCCAGGAGTTGGAGGTTGCTGTGAGCTGTAATGCCATGGCACTCTACCCAGGGGGACAGCTTGAGGCTCTGTCTCAAAAAAAAAAAAAAAAAAAAAAAAAAGTGCTAGGATTACAGGTGTGAGCCACTACACCTCGCCCATTGAAGGCTTTGTTAATAACTATGGATGACTTTCTTCTATTAATCGGCAAGCATCCAAAGGAAGGGTGAGACCCATGGATTTTTCTTTTTAGAGGTGTTTCAGGAGATTCTTTTTTTAAAAACAGTTTCATTATGTCGCCCTCTGGAGAGTGCTGTGAGCTATGACGACAGCTCACAGTAACCTCAACCTCTTGGGCTTAAGCGATTCTCTTGCCTCAGCCTCCCAAGTATCTGGGACTACAGGCACCTGCCACAGTGCCTAACCATTTTTTTGTTGTAGTTGTCATTGTTATTTAGTAAGCCCAGCCCTTTTGTATATGGATGGTGCCCTAACCACTGACCTATGGGTGCTGAGCCAGGAGATTCTCTCTCTCTTTTTTTTTTTGTAGAGACAGAGTCACTTTCTTGCCCTCAGTAGAGTGCAATGCCATCACAGCTCACAGCAACCTCCAGCTTTTGGGCTTAGGCGATTCTCTTGCCTCAGCCTCCCAAGTAGCTGGGACTACAGGTGCCCACCACAGTGCCTGGCTATTTTGTTGTTGCAGTTTGGCTGGGGCCAGGTTCGAACCCATCACCCTCAGTATATGGGGCCAGCGCCCTACTCACTGAGCCGCAGGTGCCACCCTGAGCCAGGAGATTCTTATAGTCACCGAGTTTGGGGAACTCCCATCTCCAAGGAATGCAAGGAGGACCAACAGTGAAACTCTCTTTTTCAAGATGGTAGAGAGGTCAGAGGTGAATCTCACTGATAGATCATAGAGGACTCTGCCCATCTAGACTTCTTTTCCAAGTTTGGCAAAGGATGGAGCAGAGAGATTGAAGGAGAGAGCCTAAGGTGATGTGGTTGTCAGGGACCAGAGTGTGAAGTCCCCTCTTGCCTATGGAAAAGAATGGTTGAGTTTTCCTTTAAAAGATAACAGAAAGCCGGTGTATAATAATGATGATGATTATAATTATCGAGATGAGGGTCTCACTATGTGGCCTAGGCTGGTTTTGAACTCCTGGCCTCAAGCAATCTTCCCACCTCAGCCTCCCAAAATTCTGGGACTACAGGTATGAGCCACTGTGCCCACCCTTAATAAACATTAAGCAATCCCAAACTAACAAAAATTGCAAGAACACTATAGTACAAAACTTTTCCTGACTCATTTGAGAGTAACTGACCAAACAGTGGCCTATTATTTGGGGATATTTGAGTGTGCGTTTTTTACAGACAGGAACAATAATACAAACATTAAAATCAGGAAACATATAATGTTACTTTGCTACATGTGAATGCTGAGACTCCATTCAAGCATTGCTAGTTCTAATAATATACTTTGTAGCAAAGGATCTAGGTCAGAATCAAATGTTTATTTAATAGTAAGTCTCTTTAGTCTCCTTCAATCTGGAACTGTTCCTTAATCTTTCCTTGACTTTCATGGCCTTGGCCATTTTAAAGCTTGTAAGCCATTTTATTTTGTTTACTATCCCTTAGCTTGGAAATATCTATTTGTTCAACTCAGGTTGCATATCTTGGTAAGAATGTGATAAATATAAGTTGTCATTGCAAAGTTACATACAAGTTTGACTTGTCACATTACTGTTTGTTTGATTTTTTGTTTTGTTTTGTTTTATTGAGACAGAGTCTGACTATGTCACCGTTGGTAGAGTGCTGTGGCATCACAGCTCATAGCAACCTCCAACTCTTGGGCTTAAGCGATTCTCTTGCCTCAGCCTCCTGAGTAGCTAGGACTACAGGCGCCCTCCACAATACCTGGCTATTTTTTGGTTGTAGTTGTCATTGTTTAGCTGGCCCAGCTGGGATGGAACCTGCCAACCTTGGTGTATATGGCTGGCACTGTAACCTCTGTGCTATGGGCGCCAAGCACTACTATTTTAATGGAATATAATAATGGTAACAGATTATTTATTGATGCTCAGATTGTTCCAGACTTGACTGATAGGACATCCATTCAACCTGCTTTCTATGTCTTTTTGCCATGTCCCCGTCATTGAGTGCTTTATTTCTGATGCAACAAGGTATGTTATAGGCTCATCTTGTACTTTCCCCGCCTAGTCCTTGACTTGGCCATTTATTTGCCTAAGGAGCTATGCTTCATTTTACCGGTGAATAATGGTAGTCAGAAACTAAGATCCTGGGATTGGGGCAGTGCCTGTGGCTTGAAAGGGTAGGGCGCCAGCCCCATATGCCGGAAGTGGCGGGTTCAAACCTAGCCCTGGCCAAAAACTGCAAAAAAAAAAAAAAAAAGATCCTGGAGATAAGTATTTGGGGGGGGGTATTGCTGATCTCAGACCCTTACTGAGGGGTCTTGAATTTTAAGCAACAAAATATGTTCCCTCATGAATCCAAGCAAGAAAAGTAAGGAAGTAAGGATTCTGCCATTCTAAGATAAGTAATGACATGGTTGTAAATGTCCTAAATAGTTTATTCTTATATATTATTAACTAAATGTAGCTATGTAGTATGTAGTCTGACAGCATTCTACAGCATGTCTTGAATCTCTTTCTATCTTAATCAATATAGCATAAAAATGGGCCAGGTACGGTGCCTCACACCTGTAATCGCAGCACTTGGGGGGCCAAGAAGGGTGGACTGCCTGAGCTCATGGGCTTGAGACCAACCTGAGTCACACTAAGACCTCATCTCTAAAAACAGCCAGGCTTTTGGGTGGCGCCTGTGGCTCAAAGGAGTAGGGCACTAGCCCCATATACCAGAGATGTCAGGTTCAAACCCAGCCCTGGCTAAAACCTGCAAAAAACAAATATATATAACCAGGTTTTGTGGCAAGCGCACTATAGTCTCAGCTACTTAGGAGGCTGAGGCAAGAGGATACCTTAGCCCAAGAATTTGAGGTTGCTGTGAGCTATGACGCCACAGCACTCTGCTGAGGGCAAGAAAGTGAGACTCTGTCTCAAAAAAAAAAGCATAAAAATGTAGTAATTGCTGGGTGGCACCTGTTACTCAATGAGTAGGGTGCTGGCCCCATATACCAAGGGTGGAGGGTTCAAACCTGGACCCTGGCCAAACTGCAGCAAAAAATAGCCAGGCGTTGTGGTGGGCACCTATAGTCCCAGCTACTTGGGAGGCTGAGGCAAGAGAATCACCTAAACCCAAGAACTAGAGGTTGCTGTGAGCTGTGATGCCACAGCACTCTACTGAAGGTGACAAAGTGAGACTCTGTCTCTAAATAAATAAATAAGTGTAGTAATTTCTGAATGTGGGCTATGTACTCTGCCTTTAAATCTTCTAATCACAACCTTAAGATAGTTGATAGCATTCCTGTTTTTCAGAGGCAGAGACCAAGTTTCTTCCCTGAAATTTAAACCCAGGCAGCCAGCCAGCCACGGTGGCTGACACCTGTAATCCTAGCATTCTGGGAGGCCAAGGCAGGTAGATTGCTTGTGCTCAAGAGTTTGAGACTAGCCTGAGCAAGAGCAATACACCATCTCTATTAAAAATAGAAAAACTGGCTCGGTGCCTGTGGCTCAAGCGGCTAAGGCGTCAGCCACGTACACCTAAGGTGGCAGGTTCGAATCCAGCCCGGACCCGCCAAACAACAATAATGGCTGCAACCAAAAAATAGCCGGGTGTTGTGGGGGGCGCCTGTGGCCCCAGCTATTTGGGAGGCGGAGGCAGGAGACTCGCTTGAGCCCAGGAGTTGGAGGTTGCTGTGAGTGTGAAGCCATAGCACTCTACCCAGGGGGACAGCTTGAGGCTCTGTCTCAAAAAAAAAAAAAAAAAATAGAAAAACTAGCTAGGTGTTGTGGCAGGCACCTATAGTTCCAGCTACTTGGGAGGCTGAGGCAAGAGGATGGCTTGAGCTGTGAGCTCTGATGGCATAGCACTCTATCCCGGGGCAACAGAGTGACACTTAATCTCGTAAAAGAAAAAAAAAGAAAACCCAGCCAGTCAACTCAAGGGTCTTTATACTTTTGCATTTAATCATCATAACACTCGAAGATTGTACTTGTCTCAACCTTTTTTTGATGATAAAACTAGTTCAGAGAAGTAAAATAAATTGAAATGGATGAAAGGCCTAAGTCTAAAGGCTAAAACTATACAACTCTTAGAAGAAGAAGATACTATCATGTAAGTCTTTGTGACCTTGGTTTCTTAGATATGACACCAAAGCATAGCAACCAGAGGAAAATTAACTGGACTTTGTCAACATTAAACACTTTTGCATATCAAAGGACACTATCAAATAAAGAAGATAATCCACGGAATGGGAGAATATATTTGGCAAGCATATATCTTATAAGGATCTAGTATCAAGAATATATAAAGAATTCTTACAACTCAACAATAAGAAGACAACCTAACTCTGGGAGGCAGAGGCAGGAAGATTGCTTGACAAGGTCAGGAGTTTGACACCAGCTTTAGCAAGAGGGAGACTCTGTCTCTACTAAAAATAGAAAAAAATAGCCAGGTGTGATGATATGTGCCTGTAGTCCCAACTACTCAGAAGGCTGAGACAAGAGACTCGCTTGAGCCCTGGAATTTAAGGTTGTAGTGAGCTATGATGACACCACTGCTCTCTAGCTGGGGTGACAGAGAAAGACTCTGTCTCAAAAAGACAACCCAATTAAAAATGGACAAAGTTCCAGCTTATTGTTCAAAGCTAAAAAATAAATATACTTAAAAATGAGCAAAGGATTTGAGTGCACGTTTCTCTAATGAAGATATGCAAATGGCCAATAAACACATGAAAAGATGCTCGATATCATTAGTCATTAGGGGACTGCAAATCAAAATCACTTCACAGGCTCAGCACCTGCAGCCTGTGAGGTGGTTAGGGCGCTGGCCACATGCACCGGGGCTGGTGGGTTCAAACCTAGCCTGGTCCTGCCAAACAACAATGACAACTGCAACAAAAAAATAGCCAGGTGTTGTGGCAGGCGCCTATAGTACCAGTTACTTGGGAAGCTGAGGCAAGAGAATCACTTAAAGCCCAAGTGTTGGAGGTTGCTGTGAGCTGTGGCACCACAGCACTCTACCAAGGGTGACCAAGTGAGACTCTGTCTCAAAAAAAAAAAAAAGTTAAATCGAGTTAATGTATGACTTAGCAATCCTCCTAGGAATATAACTCCTAGGAATGAAACCATTATGTCCACAGAAAAATGTGTACACCTAAGCTCATAGCACTATTCATAATAGTCAAAAATGGAACCAACCCAAGTGTTTATCCACTGATGAATGAATGTTTTCTCTCTCTTGTTTTTTTTGAGACAGAGTCTCACTTTGTGGCCCTTGGTAGAGCATTGTGGCATCCCAGCTCACAGCAACCTCAAATTCTTGGGTTCAGGCAATTTTCTTGCCTCAGCCCCCAGAGTAGCTGGGACTACAGGTGCCTGCCACATGGCTGGCTATTTTTTTTAGACAGAGTCTCACTATGTCGCCCTCAGTAGAGTGCAGTGGTTTCACAACTCACAGCAACTTCTAACTCTTGGGCTTAAGCAATTCTCTTGCCTCAGCCTCTTGAGTAGCTGGGACTACAGGCACCTGCCACAACGCTGAGCTATTTTTTTGTTGCAGTTGTCATTGTTATTTAGCAAGGTTCCAACCCACCAGCCTCAGTATACGTGGCTGGCACCCTAACCACTGAGTACAAGTGTCGAGTTGTTTGTTTGTTTGTTTTAGAGACAAGTTCTCTTCTCTGGCTCTGGCTGATGTCATACCCGTGAGCTTAGGCAATCCACTTGCTTCAGCCTCCCAGAGTGCTAGGATTACAGGTGTGAGTCATTGCGCCTGGCCTGATTAATTAATTTTTTTTTTTTTTGAGACAGTGTCTCACTATGTTGTCCTCAGTAGAGTGCCATAGCTTCACAGCTCACAGCAATCTCCAACTCTTGGGCTTTAAGCAATTCTCTTGCCTCAGCTTCCCAAGTAGCTAGGACTACAGGTGCCAGCCACAATGCCCAGCTAGATGAATTAATTTTTATTTTTATTTTATTTTATTTTATTTTTATTTTTATTTTTTTGAGACAGAGCCTCAAGCTGTCCCCCTGGGTAGAGTGCCCTGGCATCACAGTTCACAGCAACCTCCAACTCCTGGGCTCAAGCGAGTCTCCAGCCTCCACCTCCCAAGCAGCTGGGACCACAG